TTAAACAGAAACATATAGTCACATGATTAGAATGCCTCAAATTGCACTAATTGTTGATTTGAATTAATTAGTGAACGCAACTATCTTATAACTTACAGGATAATTATGTCAAAATTTGCGTATGCATCTAATTTAATGAAATAAAAAGCCAATGTCTGTAGTAAAACATTTACATTACATAGTAAAAATATTGTATATGCAATTCGGAACACTTGGGACTTAATTATGCTAAAGTTCCGTATATGAGATTAATGGCTAAATAGAACTTTATAATACTCGTCGTTTAGATTATGGTTTCACAAGAAGATCGACTTGCTAGTCATTCATTTCACTCGTCTCTGAGGAATTATTCTTTATAATTTTCCGACTAGCTGCCAACTTTTCTTATTTCAACCTAGCCTATCTCAAAAATGCGTTTTAAATTTTACTATATTTCATACCCGAATGTGTGCTTGCTGTATTGTATCCTGAAAAGTTTTACCCTGACCTATTGCTTGTTGGCGCTTTATCTCATTTTTCTACAAACATTGTTATTTTTGTATTATCTATAATCTATTAATTAAATTTATTCTGAGTTTTTGAGGAGTAAAGCAAAATGGTAATATAATTTGAAACAATACCAGACTTATAAAGTTCTTAATATATCTACATAATACCAGTGTAAAAAGGCTAACCAAAAGTTTCAGCATTATAAATGAGTCATAAAAGATTTTGATAAAAATATATAAGCCAATTTTCCGTCGAGTCAAGATACTGGAAACGTATATAGTGATAAATATACTCACTCTACTGATACTATCACAAGCGGAAGACTTTCTTAACTGTTCTGTTATCGACTTTTTGACCGGCATTCCAATATCAGAAGTCTGAATGTTGCGCTGGCGTTCTGTCGACAGTGATCGACAAAGAGTCAAACTAGACGAAGTACATGATGAAGCTCCATCATTGCGCGCCGATTTAGTGTTCACATAACCTCCTGCCGTAACCTTTGTTCCAGCGGAACGCCCCAATGTTGAAGATTGAGCTGATTTGATAGATCGCTTCATTGTAAAACTGGGCCAGCGGTTGTGATGGGACCGTGTGACACCCAAAGTCTCATGACATATAGTCACTCCACTTTGGCCAGCAGAAGCTGGTGACGAAGAATGTCCTGCCAAAGAATAAGATTGTAAAGGTTTTTTAGTTGTGTATACTACTTTTTACAAATTCGGAGGTGTAAAATTTAAACTAAATATTTGGTTCAACACAAAAAGTAAGGATGAATAAGAATATATATACTTGAACGGTGAGATGAAAAAAATTAATAAATGTTAGGATTGCAAAATAATGTGAGATTTGCTCCAATCAATGATTATAATATCAAGGTTAAGGTGGTTTTAGACTCTTTTAGCTGTATTGAAATGTTATGACCTCGTTCTTATAACTTAGCTGGGGAAACAGGAAATCTTGTAGACCTAACAAAGTCTTGAATTTTATGCCATAGTATTCATGCTATATTTTTGTATCGGACCGATAGATTTGTACACTCTCAGATGTTTATTCGATATCGTATTTGGTAGAATCAGTAAAAGGCCCTATCCTGAGCACAGTAACTACGCCTCAAAGGGTTTTGAATCGCACTAATAAAGTTTTTAAAACGAAGCCAAACCAATTTGAAACGTCTTTATAATAGATTCATTGCATAAAGATGCCTTTACTCTTATATAAAGCTTGTCTAGACACTTTATCTATTATAATTACTTTTATTAAACAAATGACGTAGATGTCAAAATATTCTAAGGGCAAAAGATAATATAAGAAGGAGTTCGAGTTTATAATGGCTGCATGAATATGGATATAATTGTAGAAAAAGCTTTAGGATCATCTGGAATAAATAAAATAAATTTAGCTTAGGTTGATGTATTCTAAAATATGAAGATTAAGTGAATAAAAACAATATTAAAGGATAGATACAATACATCTTTATCAAAGAGTATTTAAAGTTATAAGATTATGTGATCAGAATTTTAATTGCAAGTATCTTCCACTTTTGCATATTATTTTTAGCTACCAAGCAAGATCACCAGATATTTGTAGGAAAATAAATTTACAGGGCATGTAAAATATTGACGAATATGATGAGATTAAAGCAGACGTCTATTGCTAAATAAAAGAGCAACTTTTCAAACAGGATACTGGGAAATTAATTTAAAAGGCATCTTCTAAATTTTAGTTTAATGGTATAAATATCAATCTAAAACGCTGACAAGCCTAGATTCTAATTCTATGAAACAAAAATGGTCTAAAAATTTGATAAAAATATTTGTCAATTCAGAGTAAAGCTGTTTCAGCCTCAATAGACAGATGGAAACGTTTTATAATTGCATAAAAAATAATATTTCGCAGGAAAGGAAACAATTATTGTATAAATTTGTATGGAAATGCGCAGTCATATGAATTAAAGCTTATTTGATTAATATTGTGGATAAAATTAAAATATGTATAAGCTTAAGCCCGGAATACAATGTTTCGAACATATATGTGGGGTGAAGAAAAGAGATAGAAATATCACCGATATATGCTAATTAAAATTGAGAAATTTCGGATCTTAAAATAAATATAGCCAACATAATTTTGTAAATACAGAAAATGAAACCGAAAAATATTCAAATTTAAATAAAAATTACAAATATATTTTCCTTATGAGTTTTTAAAATAGATTGCTCATAAGAAATTAAGCAGCCAAACAAATTTAAAAAAATTAATGGGTTGACCTCGTTGTCGCAACTTGGTCTTGATGTCAGGGCGACTATGTAGAACGCACCTAATCCGAAGTCGTCTGCCATAGTAGTTGTAATGCTTTCCAGCATCGGGCAGTGGACTTGATACATTTTCAAGCGTTTCGCCGGCATCGTAGTCGGCATCATTAGTGAGCTTTGCCATTCTCCGCACCAGCTACGAACTCGTCAAAGAGACAAGTGAAGTCAATTCCTCAACAAGCGTTCTGCCAAAAACGGTTGCACTATCACTTCTCTTTCTGCCATTGTCTATCTATCTACTCTTTACTCTCTTATCCCACTGCCGCCCTATCACTTCTCACTTGTTTATATTTGAATAGTCAAAATGTGTGCCCTTTTGTGGTAAACCTAGTGTGGCCTCATCACACTTGCTATTTACCCTGAAACCTCTCTTTCGATAGCTTATCCGACTCGGGCCTCCAATCGGGCCTCCAATGCGACCAGAACAGAGGCCAAAACATCTTAACCTTCATATATTCTATAAAATTTTTAAAAATGCATTGAAAAGATAAATTTTGAACAGATCATACTCAGGCCATTACTGTCCAAAATCTGAACAGTGTTTAGTGACTTGAGTAGCAGAATGACTTAACAATAATTTGAATAACTCATTACGATCAAAATCAACTTGATAAATTAGGCTAGAATAAAATTATGTTGCAAGTAAAATTTTAGAGAACAAATATTTGTGTGATACGCTGTAAGCAGTGATATTTTCCCTAAATACCATTGCATAATATTCGGAGAAGCATATGAAAAAAATAAATTTTAAACAACATTTGTGATAAAATAAAGAGGATGAAACTAGATCGTTTTCCAATATTTTATATCAATGGAGCACGAACAAATCTTTATTTAGATAATATGATAAATGAAATTTGTTATCTAAAAATTATATTAGGCTTGAAGTAAAGGTAGTTGCACTATTAAATATACTTCAAATGCAAGCCAAACTAAAAGAAGGTAAACTAGAATTAACTGAGGTTTAAAATTGAAGTACAATATATGTAATAGAGAAGAAAAAAGCAAATTATTTTGTGCTAATGTAAATACAGTTTTCAATATAAAAAAGTACAGTAACTCAGCAAGATCAAAGTGAGTTTATATATATTTAAGCATAACATTGTGAGGCGAAATCTATGAGTCAGTCTATAAATTAATAATATTTGCAGCTAAATCATCCCATCAGTCCAGCTTTACCATTTATAAGAAAAATATACTTATTTAAAAAATACCCAGTTGTGAAATGAGCCAATCCTTTAATTTAGAGGCTATCGTTACTAACACCAAAATTTACCTAATTTATCCTGTTGTATGGTTTCGTAAAGTTACTAGTTCTTTATTTTGCAACGTGAGGTTTGCAGATAAGTTGAAATTCATCTCTGATCTACCAATTAACTGTAATTTTATACATAAATTAGTTCGCAGTTCGACTGCATTTATAGCATGCATCTATAATCGGGTGGGACAAAGGCTAAGTTGCATAGAGATGTATTCACCCTATTGCTTTTAAGGTGATGGAGGACTGATAACTAAATTTTTCCACAATGATATGAGTAGAGCTGATGGTTCCATTGAATTTCCAAAGCCTTGCTTTCCCGAAAAGTGTCTTTATCTAGGGTAGAATACAGATTAGACCTGGCCTAGGTCTCATCAACACCACCAGTGGGAGTCGAATCATGACAGTTCAGTGTGTGCTCTTGACACGTCAAACACTCTCGAAACTTTAGTTATGAACAAGCGATATTTTACTTAGAGTATAAGCTTGAGAACAAATTTTATTGACTAATATTTTAGATGAAATAAATCTAGCTCATGAGGAAGTTTTAACAAAGTGTAAATGTGATATTGCCTGAAAAAGTATGTGGAAATACAGACTTAAATAGTTAGAATCCTTATCATAAATATGATCCATCAGCCACTCATAGACAAGCTAAGTGATGAACAACCATTAACGCAAGTTTTCTCCTTTTAATCCAAATTAAAGTATTTCCTTTCGTTTTTTATACCATACGAAATAAATGCGAAAATATGCAGTATAAACACGTAATTTGTATTAGATCTGTGAAGTAACTCAATAAGGAGGCTTCAAAATAAATTCTGGGAAAGCATTTTTTAACTATTGGATAATTCTCCGTTTTGGTTGAGTCGGGCCTTGCGCAGCTCTATTACTTTAGAACCCTTAAATATAGATATCAATCAAACATTCTTTATATAACAGAGACCTTCACTTTGGTTTTAAATTTTTGTCTTCGAAAAATGGCTGCTTATGGCAAAGTCGTAGAATGTGCCATTTATATTAATAAATCAGGGACCATAAAGCGTTTCTAGAAGCCTGGAACAAGTTTTATTATAATAATTATTTAGCTCAAACCAATTGCCTTTTGGTGATAAGGAAGCGCGTGTGAATAGCGGCGTATATTTATGGGTTCAATCGCTAAATTTCAAGTAAAATAAATATAAAAATTATAGTTGGTATCATAACAATTATAAATGGCACAACATTCTTCTTATATTTTCAGTTCTTCCTTACTATTTATACAAAAATAGTTTTGCGCGCATTCTACACACATTTTCTTCCAATTCAGAGTTATAAAGACGACTAGTATTATTAATCTATAAAACTTATGGAATGTTCTAAAATACAGAAAATTCAGGTTGTTTTTACAAACCTGTTTATAGCCGATTTTCAACGGTTTCACTGAATTATTTTCAGGAAAAAGATGATCAGATAGTATTATTTTGTGAAGGCTCGCAAAGGAAGTAAATATGTCAAGTTATGATATTGTATAAAGAAGTGAAGAATTGAAGGCAAACAACCCATAACTTAGTTTTTGATCTAATTACCATCGAATGCATGTTAGGAAAGCCACTGAAAGCGAATATTCCTACCAATTTTTAAAAATGATTTGAATACCTTCTAGGGGGCATGTGCGTTAAGAATAAATCTGCTTTTTCCTGCGTGGGCGTCACTTTGAAATTAATTGAAAATAATCAAAGGTGTAATGTAAAATCGTTTATTCATACTATGCTATAAAGGAATATTTGATCATATTTTATTTCGCCTATAAGTAGCCTTTCGATGATGAAGGATTAGTGGTTAGATTTTTCTACAATTAATTTAGTAGGCCCTATTTTTACATTGAATTTCCCATAGCCAACGATACCCCACCTAGAATGAAATGCAGATTTCACCTCGCCTAGGTCTCATCAGCAACCTCAGTTGGATTCTAAACCTAGTAGGGCAGCGCATAATCTCTTAAAATGTA